CTGTATTGCCAGTGATGTGATGCCCTCAGGTGGAGTCCCATCTTAAGTTCTGGTCACCTCAACTCAGAAAGGATAGAGAAGAAGAAAATGGGTTCAGCGATGACAAGAATGATGAAAGACTAGAAAAAGTGGCATATGAAGACAGATTGCAAACATTGTGGCTGTTTAAAGCAGACTTAATAAAGTTATGCAAAATAAATGTTCTAGAGAAGGTAAATCATTGACTTCTATTCACCCTTTTTGGTACAAGAGTAAGAAGGTATTCAATGAAACTGATAGACCATTTTACACCAAGTGTAATTAATCTGCACACAAGTATAACTGTGTATAATTACACAGGTATAATTAACCTGATTAAGAAATTATTGCCACAACACACGTTTTAGGCCAAATGTTAAGCTCAGCAAGATTCAGGAAAAGATTATAGATTGACCTGAAGAATAAAAATGTAATCCATGCTTGTATCATAGGGCTCTCTGTTCCTCTGTGAGATGAGCCACATATAAATGGTGTGTGGATTTGCCAGAATCTCTGATTGGGTGTTTTGGTTTATACAAGAGATGTTCATGCGTATAGGTCCAGAGACCATAGGTTTAGTCCCTGCTGCTGTTAACTACCTGGGCCAAAGTCATCTTGGACTTCTTGCTGACCGTTATGAAAAACAAACTTCTCCCATGGGCAGGATATTCTATAACTGGCATTGCTAGGGCAGGATACTGAATTCATGGACCACCGCTCTGACCCATTCTGGCAGTTCCTTTGGTCCCCACATGCATATGTGTCCTCTCAATTCTTAGTCATCATGTGTGCTAGTTAACAACAGTAATGGACTATGCCCTTTCCCCATATCATTTCCCCATGCACATATACTTCTATTATCAATTACCCAGATAAATAGACCTGCATGCCCCTGTTAACCTTTGGTTCTCAACCTTTCTAAATCTTTAACCCAAAAAACTGACCAAATAAAACATCTTAGGACCAACTTAACCCACAAGTCTTTGTGGCTGCAAAGATGATGGGATTTAGGTCACAGAAGACAAAATAGAAGGGAACTAATTTCAGTGTAATGAGTGTATGTACTGAGTGTAGGGACACTGTCCTGATGGTTGGGAGTGCTTTTGGGTTGGCAGTTGATTGTAGTCATTTCCTTCTCCTCTGTACTGCTTGGCTTTGGATATGTGCTGCTTCTGGAGGCTGTTGAGCAGGCACCGTAGCTTTTAAAATGCTGGCTTTTATTCTGTTATTTTTGTCTGCATGATCCTGCTAATATTTTTTCTTAACCCTTGCATTACAACCCATTTGGCACTCCTTAGTGTTAGCTAAGAGCCCGCCAGGGGTTGTGATGCAATAAAGTATGTGGCATCAGTGACAGCATGTTATCTTGTCCCCAGGTCGATTTTTGACTCCTCTCCCCAGCCTCTCCAAACACTTTTGTCTGAATTCTTCAGCAAATGGGATGAAGAAGTTGCATTCAATTCTTCTCTGTGCATGTCCAATTAGCAGGTGTCATTACCTTTAGCAGCATGTCTCATTTGGGGGGATTGGGACCTCTACATATTTAATTTTTTTCCATTTAAAAATTCATGAAAAATGGTCCCTTTCTCACAACCCCTAATTAGCTCCCACTTGCCATCTCCATGTGGATTGTTTCATTTCATTTAGAGCAAGGAAAGGAGCCTTTCCCCCACTTCCTCTTTGCTGGTTGTTAGTGATGTGAACGAAGAAACACGGAGGAGGTTGATGAAATGTCCTGATGACTCCAAACAAGAGTGAGGCTACAAGAAGGTAGGAAAAACTTAGTAGGCAAGACACATGGCACATTTCTGAGTTAGATAGACTGTTACCATGGGCAAATTCATGGCATCTGCAATTATATAAAGAAGAGCCGAGAATAAGTGGACTCTCAGGAACTTACTGCTATGGAAGATCAAGTGTAAGGATTTACAGCTTGTGAAGGGAAAAGCTTACAATCCTAGCATGGAACCTTGATTGATAACAGTGAAATCAAGTGCTTGGATACAGAATAAGAAGTCTATTATAAGACTGTTCCCAGGAGCATGTAAGAAGTGGAGTTTTTATGCAGTTTTGAGAGACATTTAAAGCCCTTAGACAAAGTTGTTTATCAAAAATTAGGTATCTTGCAAATGGACCTAATTTTGATTGATATCATTGTGATTAGCATAATATAAAGTCTCCACATATTCATAATTAAGAGTCCTTAGTATGATGAGAATAAGAATAGATGCTGCTATCCAGCACCAGGAAAGAGTTAAGGTTACTTGAGGAGACAATTTTTATGGTTTTAAAAACTTGCTTGTAAGTTTAACCTTAACCCTAAATTTCCTACTTTTCCAATGTTTGTTTTTTGGTCTATAAAACATTCTTGTGAAGGTTTTTTTCCAGTATTTTTCTGTACTCTTAACCATAGGAACCTTAATAAGAATTAGTCTGTGTGTGAATATCACAGTTTGTAAGGCTGCAAAGTATTCTGTCATTCTTTAAATTAATCAGTAATGACACTTTTAGATGGAACAAACTGGAAAGTGATAATACACTAGAAAATTGCCTGGAATTACCCTGCTTTTATGTTTCCAATATAACAGCTTTTAGAGCAGTACATTCCAACATGAAATACCCAATTCTGGCACCCATCCTCAGGCTGAACAGCTCCCTCTGAAATGAGCAGGACTGTGCATGGCAGAAGGTAGTAGTGTAATATTGAGTAGGCACTGGTAAACCAGACATGAGCCCTGCGGGGTGCCTCAAGGGAAAGATTTAGGGGATGCATCACCCTCACATCTCACCCAGCATATTTTTGTTGCTTAATATGCATGTCAGTGGCAGAAAAGGCAGTTACATCTCTCCTGGCAGCATGAAATCTCTGGTTACTGCAGCATGGACTGCCACTGCCCAGGGCACAGCCCATCCTGAAGGTAAGGCAGGGTGGCATATTAAGTTCAGAAACCCAGTTAGTCTCTAAGGTGCCACCCTGGCCTGCCTTTTGCATGACTCTTGAGTAACACCTCTGTGTACATGATGTAAGCCAAATTCAGACGATCAAGACTAGCAGAACTGTTCTCTAAGACACAGCAACAGCAAAAGAATGGGCTGTTGCAGCACTGTTCCAGGAGCACCCCAGTGAAGGAATAAATCCTTCCATGCTTTTCCTCTGGCAAGTGTGGTGGGAATAAAAGTAGATGGAAGGACCACGTTGTATGGAGCTAAAGAATGGAAGGGTGTCCATACACATGCTCTGGGGTAGGGGCTTTTTAAATAGAGTGGCTCTCAAACAGTTGCTCTAATTAAAATGCCCCAGTATCATGTGCATTCAATGTCCTGTATTTCAAAATGGCGGCAGAGGTGCTTTAACTAAAACTCATCCGACGAGTTTTAGTTAAAGCACCACCACCACCATTTTGGAACCTGATGTGCTGTGTGCCACACTCAGAGGCTGCCCATGCCACCTAAGGCACATGTGCTGCAGGTTGGACAGCTCTGTACTATGTCATCAGATCTGTTCTCTGGAGGGACTTTGCATAGGATGTATCAGAGAATGGCCTGATACCACACTCCTTAGCTGAAAGGCCAAGGTGTTGTACTGGAATGGAACTTAAGATCTGGTCAACCCCCTCTTCCTGACATTGGCCCTCATTGAGGTAGTGTCATCTGCCCTGGACTGTTTTTATATGAAGACAAAGGATCTCATTACCTTTTACTCTGTGCAATGTGTGGCCATGTATACCAGGACAGAGTGGATCCAATACACTCTGGGTGTGGTGACAGTATGATTAAGATGTTTCACTAGCAATCCAGAGATGTGACTTCAGGCTTGACTTCAGACTCCTACTGTTGAGTGGCCTAGTCCAGCATCAGGTACTTACTCATTCCAACTGGGGAATAAAAGACAACTTAGCTTGATGCCAGCCACCTTTTCCTTCTTTGCCACTGGCTATAGATATTACTGTGCCTTAACCACACAAGCCTGATGGATTGCTAAGGCTCAGGACATACCTTGGACTTGGGTAATTAACAGCAATATAGTCTAGCCCACAAAGGACTCCTGTTGGTGGTACCCCTTTGAGTCCTGTTCTAGTCTAAGGCAAAAGATTTATTTAGGATCTACCCCAACCAAGGTGCAGTTTAAAGGTGTTATATTGTATTTACATTGGGTCCTAAGTGGTTTTTGCAGTGGCATTCAAATAGTTAAACAACACCTAGACAAGGCCTAAATGGCACCAATGTGCTTACTGGCAAAGCATCACTTTAACATCTTCAGATCAGATTGGCAACTAAGCACATAATCTATTGATTAGAAACTTCTTCACTAGATCAACCTTATAGCATTTGGAGATGCTACCTCAGCCTGACAAAGGGTCTTTATACCCAAAAGTTTGCAAAGAAGAATTTTTCCAACTATTTGAGCTGGTCTAATAAAAGATACCAGATTTACCCAAAGAACATTGTCTGCCTGTGTCCTTAGGCCAACATAGCTACACCCTACACCCTTATAGCGTTTGAAAGCATTTGTAATTTTGTTCTTACTCTGTAGACTGCCCGTTAGATCTTTTGCACTCGCTGTTCACATGATTCTATTTCTGTCTTCAACAAGAACCAAACCATCCAGCGGGAAGCGGTTAGAAACCTATTTTCTGTGTTTATGTTTCGTCAGTTCAAGGACAGGTAATCAGTAAGGGACACAAATCAAGAACTCCCCTTCACATTTCCCCTACTTTATTTCCTTGTTACGTGGATTTAATTTCTTGTGACACTGAAGTAGGAAATCATTTCAAGATCATGGAAATGAAGTGTAGCTTTGGGAAAATAAATGATTAGGTTTAATGATCCTGTTGCTGTTTTGATTATTATCTCTCCCCATGACTTGTTTACATCCCTGCCTGTTACTAGCACACAGGGCACTGGGGTAGGAAGGGGCTGGGGAGCTTTCTAGCAGTCCTACCCCTTACGTTGTTTACATCAAATAAGTGTCTCCTGCTCTTTAGGGGAGGTGCTAACCTTAAGAGGATGCAAACAGAATAAATTACACGCAGGAACCAAGCCTAGCAGAAGCACCTTGCTAGTGAGTTTTGATTTCAGCACAGGTAATCCCAGAGACATGTTACAGGTTGGGCTGAGCTTTTCCAGCTGCCCTGAAGGCACTGCTATTGATTTCCCTTCAGACAAGTCTGGAAAGCAGAACAGGTGTAATTCTGTCTTGGTGAATTCAGAGGAAGGTGACATGGAAGCCCCACAAGGTAGGTCAGCTCCTGAGAAGGACCTGCATCTTTCTGCACAGACAGTTAAATGCAGCAGCTGGTAAAGGATGCATTCCTGTTTACACGAATAATGCAATTGCGTCCTCTTAACCAGGCAAGCATCGCTAACTAGAAAAGGCCAGTTGGGCTAAATCTGCTTCTTTACTCTGCCCTACTTCCAGCATGTTTTCTTTGCAATGCTGTATTTCCTGGGGCATGGCACACAGAAGAGCACTGCAACTGAGGCAGTACTCCACTGCTAACAGGCTAAAGAAAGAGGAGATCTTTTGTAATAGAGCTGAATGAATCAGTCTAATCATGGATGTATTTGGTAGCTGTGTTGGTCTGAGACAAAAAGAAATGCAAAACTCTAGAACTCTTGGTTCAGAGATGATCCCTTTTATTAGACCAACTAAAAATTCCCCAAAATTATCTTTTTCTGCAAGCTTTTGGGCACATGCACCCTTCCTCAGGCTCAGGGAAAATTAAAGATGGTAAAAAGCCCCCATAGGTAGAAAAGAAACTTCATTTTGCACAGAGTAAGCTGAAGGTAGACATCTGTTCCTCTGGGTCCATGAGGGTGTCTTTGTGAGTTGCTCATTGATGTGCAGATAAGGCAGGATTCCTTCCCTGGTGGTATCAGATGGCAGAAAGGCAGGGAGGTATAGAAATCTTTCTTGTTGTTCAGCAATGAAATGTAATTGCAAAATTGGCCAAAATTCAGCATCTTCCATGTTTCAGGGATGTATTTGGTAGCCGTGTTGGTCTAAGACAAAAAGAAATCAAAACTCTGGAACTCTTGGTTCAGAGATGATCCCTTTTATTAGACCAGCTAAGAAATCACAAAAAAATTATCTTTTTCTGCAAGCTTTCAGGCACACACCCTCTCTCAGGCTCAGGGAAAACTGAAGATGGTAAAAAGTCCCCATTTTTTTGTGATTTCTTAGTTGGTGTAAAAGGTATCATCTCTGAACCAAGAGTTCTAGAGTTCTGCATTTCTTTCAGACTGATCATGAAACAGGAGCTAGGGTCTGGATGGCTCAGGGGACTGTCAATGAAAGACAGGTATCACCTCTAAATCATTGGCTTGTATCCATGCTGAGGCTGAAAGAAGCTTAAGTATAAGAGTTGTTTGGGGAGGTGGGCCTCAGTGTAGTAAATATTAACATAACAGTGCGTGTAGACGAAACAAAGGCCCTAAATTGAAGTGGCAGTGGGTTTTAAAAAACACTGTTTCAATTTAGGGCTGATTAAACCCCCGTGTCATGCACACGGCCCACTGACTTACCTGCTTCTCCGGCAGGGAGGGGAGGGTGCGTTGATGGTGGGCGGAGCACTCCCTGGGCTGCAGGTTGGTGGGGGCTGGTGCTTCCCTCTGTGGCAGCAGTGGCCACCCCCCCAGGCGGCGCCGCCTGCAGGTACCTGGCTCGGGAGATCCCAGGGGCCACCACAGCTGTGGAGGGAAGCACCGGGGCCCCACACAACACAGGCAGGTAGGCAGGTTCCAGGGGGCAAAATAAAAATAGATCAGGCTTGCTGCTTTTCTTGGGCAGAGACTGCCTTCCCAGGCTGCTGCCAGGCTGTCTGCAGGGCTTCCCGCAGAGCCCCTGAGCTGCACAGAGCCCAGTGCTTCACACCACGGCTGTAGTTTGCTGCGCCCCAAGTCATTTAAGGCACATTACGCCACTGAATTTCTTACAGTGGCTGGAATTAAGGCACAATACGCCGCGAAGGCATGCAAACACTAACACCATTAAAGTGGAGCAAAAGCATTTAGCCCACTTTAAAGTGTCATGCATACACACCTCTTGTTTCGTCTACAGACGACATGGTCCCCAAAGATGACAAGGGTGGAATATGCTTCATGAAGACTGAACAGCCCCTCACCCTTGCAAGTTCTCCACCAGTCATGAATGGGGCACAATACTTGAGAGCAGTGTGAGAAGGAAGCTTGTACAGAAGCTTTCATGCTGTTCCCCTTGAGACCTGCTTAGTGGTTCCAAAAAGTTCAATTTCCTTTCCTTTTCTGTCCACACTTTGAGGTATTTGGCAGGTGATAAGGGCTGAAACTAGAAATAATGCTATTCCCTGCAAAAAGCTAATTTTATGACCAGCTCAGAACACAAAAGCATTGACCTGGAAGTTTCACCATATTCCTAGACAAATCTAGTGAAATCTTTACTAGATTTTACAAATTCCTAGACAAATCTTTACACTCAAGGATGTTGGTTTGAGTCAGAAGGGTTTCAGATAATCATCCAAGCTTGTGAAGCCTTATACAACCCTCCAGACTTGCTGAAGCTTCCCAGCACTATTTTGTCCTCTAATACAAATACACTAGGACAAAATAAATCTTCTGAGCTGACTATTACCTGTGTTTATCATTACCAATGAGGAGCAAGCCTGACTTCATTTGTACTCTGCTAGACACAGAGCTCAGGTGGATTATACTGCAGTTTAGATTCCAGTTTCACTGGAATCCATTGTTCTATGCATTCTGGTTACAAATCAGTTTATGTTATCACAGGTAGCCTGAAAGGTAAATGTTAGAAAATCTATCTTCTTTGTTAATGATCAAAACCTTCTTTTGAGTGACAATACTACTAAATCTGATTTTTGTTGCAGCAACAGGGCAAGGCAAGGTATTTTGTGCATACCTTTCCTATAAAAATCCTCACCTCCACACCACAGTGTACTGGGAGATGTTTTACATGGGGACAGTTGTTCCCTTAGCAGTTGCTGCTAACAGACATGAACCCCCCCCAAACAAACAAACAAACAAAAAAACAGTTTACCAGAGAGGAAACACTTGTTTGATCCAGGTCCCCAGTGTCTGTGTGATGGGCTAGCTGGTAGTGATTTGGTCCAGGGGTTTTGAAATGGTAAAAAATGATTGGAGGGCTTGGGATTCCCTTTCCTCACCAATCAGGCCCCGAAGACTCACTCTCCATGTCCCCTGATTGGCCCAATGGGTCACCTGGAGGGGGATAAAAGGGGCAGCGCAGCTGACTTGGAGAGACTGGCGAGAGACAACGAGGAAGGAGTTTCAAAGAGCTGGCAAGAGTTCCCTACCTGGCTCCAGCAAGAACCTGTGCAGTGACCCACGAGGCTCCCAGTTCTGCTTCCGGTTCTCCAGCAAGAGGCAGGGCAGCTCGATGTGAGGCAGGGGCTCCTGGAAGGTCAAAAGCCCTAGCAGCCTGGAGCAGTGATGGCTGTGGTAGAGTTTCTGCATGCCATATGGGAGATCTGAGTTCATACCCTGGCTGGGATGAGTGAAATGACAGGCAGAAATATTCTTGTCAGAGCGGAGGGCGTCATTGTGTTTTCCCTCTTCCCCCTCCAGGTACCTATGCCCTACATCTCTTGTTATTTGGCATTTTGTATTTTGTGCATTTTATATTTTGCCAACCAGTATTGTTTGTTATGTTGTTTGCATTTTATACTTTGTTAAACCTGTGTTTTGTTAACTGGATGAATAGGTCTACGAATGTGAATGCCTAACCTTTATTGAATCCCGTCCTCTCGGGGTATTGTAGTATTCCCTATACCCCCTGGTTTATATATGTTATGTTCCCACCACTGTTTTCCTCATTAAAAGGTATATGGTTAAGTTCCCATTCGTGGTCTGGCTCTGTTCTGTAGGGGAAGGAGGGTCACTACACCTCCCACAGTGCTCATGCACCTGCTCTGATCCCTTCAATTGGAGAGGGGGTATGTCTTGGAGTACCACTCGGGTTACATCTGTATAAATCAGGCACTTCAGCAGGGCTTTCTGGCATTTTTTTCAAATGCTGGTTCAATTAGCTGTTAGATAAAGGCACAAAAAAGTGCCACTGAAACATGAAATCTATACAGACGTTGGGTGAGCAAGGTCCAACTAATGCACTACTTCTTCTGGGTATGTGCTGTGCTGTGTGCGGGCATGCTGAATTTAAAGTAAAGTGCTAGGTTTGGGGAGGGGAGGCGTTCATGTCTGTAAGCAGCCCATATTTTTATACAGCATTACCATTTTTGTGCATTACAAAATGGAAATGCTACAGTCAGTCTGGTATATCATTCATGATTAAGGTGGGACCTGCTCTCTACTCAGGAGGGCAGTAGTATAATAATCTATTTATTTTGCATTTATTATATTTTTGTTAATCTATTTATTTGTTATTGATTTATAATTTGAGTTGGTCTAATAAAAGATATCAGATTTACCCAAAGAACCTTATCTGCTTCTAATAACCTATAATTCTACTAGTGGATCGGCCTGGACATCGTGTTCTCTTGAGTTATTTTTGAAGCTGGCTTTTCCTTTTGGAAAGACTATCCAGACAACTGTTTTGTAGTAGCTTCTTGTTCCTGACTGTAAGTAGGATTCTAGGATCTGCCACTCATTGCATTTTATTGTGGTACAACACAGCTGTCTCACCAGTGCATCTGCTTTCCAGAAATCCTACAGGGAATATAGACTGTGACAGGTACACACTCTTGATATCCTCAGCGCCCAGCCAAATTAAGCAGTCCTAAACGGGGGCGAGAAGCCAGGTGCTTTGGGATGGGATAGAAACCTCTCCCAGGTCAGTGAGTGACAGCCCAGCTGTTACTGCAGCTGCAGAATGGTAATGTTTTCTATTCCCATTGTGCTCCCAGATGCCATTGTCCTGAATGCAATCACTTCCTCTGCTAAGATGTATGGATCCTGTATCCTCCCATGACTAAGGAAGGGGGAAGGAGGATGTGTGGTGTCAGACTGAGATGTAAAAGGAAGTAACATTTCATAGGTACTTTTTCAAGTCTTATACAAAGGCTGGCAACACTAGGGCCCCAGCAACCAAGCACCTGACCCTGAAAGGATCTCCTGCCTGGCTTTAGCAAAGTATAGCGGCTGTAGTTTGCATTCCTTTGGTATACCCTGGCTTTGAGCACTGAACCATGGGACCACATAATCTTATTTCAAATCTCTCTGTGTAATATACACTGAAGCAGACAGACCGAGGTTGCTTGGGAAGCTCCTGGCAGGGCAAAATTCTTAGTTTTGTACCAATAGAAAAAAAACACAGTCATTAGTAGGGGAAGTGAAAGGGACAGTGGGAAGTCCATACTAGGGAGAAACCGTTGAGCTGTCTCTGACCCTGGACACATGTTACTTTTGTAGCACTATCTACCCCTTTATAGCACTACAAAAAGCAAGTGCCCGTATGTCCAGACCATTTACAATACTACAGAGATAGTGGAGCTGCGACAAAAGATAATGCAGCCTACACAGAAAAGTTCCTGTTTCTGACTCGACAGCCTATGGGGAGCAGCACTGGCTGAGGACTTACAAGAAACAGGCAACTAGAAAAAGGTGAAGTGATAAATATAGTTCTGGTATGTAAAGCCAATATAAGAACTTCTTTTTTGGGACAGGAAAATGTTCTACCTATTTAAATACATATATGTTGACTTAAATCTTAGAAGTGGCTGTCAGAATTAAGTCACCTGTCAACCAGTGAAATGAATTATGTTGTATTTGTGTTCCGCAGGGACAATCAGTTCTCCTCCAATCTCTGTGGTGATCACCTCTGAGGCTGAGACTTGGGACATTGATGCATCTTCTTGCATGGGCTCTGGACAGTTTGTAGATTGGGATAAGCTGCCAGAATTGGATCAAGAGACAAACAGCCACAGAGAGATCCTCAGCAAAACCACTAGGGAACTGAAAAAGCTGGCAAGAGAAGGCTACTGGACTACCAGCCACAGTCTAAGAGCTCAGGCTTACCACCAGATCATCCAGCATATCCCCTGCCGGCTTGTGACCCCAGATGCTCTGGTCTATCAGGATGTGGCAATCAGGCTGTTTGGAAAACAGAATGTGAGCTCCCATCCGTTGCCTGAATTCCTTGAAGGATGCTTCATGCCCACATATTGCCTGACTAGGGAAGGTATAACAGCAGTAAAGAAAATTCTCATCTGCATTGGCAACCTCTTCCCTGACATCACCTACTGTCCAATTCTGCCTGCGATTGTAACGCTGTTGCTGCACTACAGTGAAGATGAAGCTCAGTGCTTTGACAATGTCTCGCACCTCATTGCTTGCAATGACTCCCACATCAGCTATATTGACCAGTCTTTCTTGGCCCACAAGGCTTCCTGTATGACTTTTGGGGATCTGGCTAACAAGCACTGCCCCACAGCTCACAGATTAATAGCCAGTGCTTCTGAGAATGTCTCAGAGGTCTATTCTGAATGGTTAACATGGCTCTTTGGTGAGCTTCCCTTTGATTATGCCATACGCATACTTGATGTATATCTATTGGAGGGACAGAAAGTCCTGTACCGGATTGCTCTGGCCTTGCTGAGACAATACAAGCTCTTGGTGACCTCGAGAGAGCTGGAAGTGACTGACATCAAAGGGGATTTGCAAGCTTTCATGCAGAACATTAGAGAGCACATGACTGTTGATAAGCTACTAGAGAGAGCTTTTGGTATCAGGCTATTCTCCCGCAAGGAAATCTGGCTTCTTCAGATGGCAAACAGGAAGGCTCTGCTGGAGAAAGGGATTACCATGGTGCAGCGCAGGTAAGAAAGCCTGATTTATTCACTAGCATGCCCTGGTAACGTTCCTTTGTGCTAGCCAGACAAACCAAAAACAATAGGTGGAGAGAGAGAGAGAGAGAAAAGACAGACAGACGGATCTATCAGTCAATCTCACTGGAAGAGCTTGTTAGGAATTTTTTCAACAAAATGTTTTTTCACTGAAAAATTCAGATTAATCAAAATCAAAAACTTTTTTGTAAAAAAGTATAAGTTCAAACAAAACTTGTGTTTAAAAGATCGCTCAGATTCAGAATAGAATTATGTGGAGGTGGAAAGGTTGATCACAAGCAGCCAGCATGGATTTGTCAGAACAAATTGTTAGATGTCAGATGTCAGAACAAATTGTACCAAACACATTTGATCTCATTATTTGACAAAGTCATTAGGTGGGAGAATGAAGGAAATGTAATAGATATAGTGTATCTAGACTCCAGTAAGGCTTTTAACAACATCCTACATGACCTTCTCATAAACAAATTGGAGAATTGTAGGTTAGACAAACCTATTACAAGGTGAATAGATAACTGGTTCAATCGCTGCAAGAAAAGTGTCATTATAAATGGATTGATGTCAGAATGGCAGGTAGTATTGAGTGGAGGCCCACGGGGTTCTGTCCTGGGCCCAGTACTGTTTGACTGGTTGATTGGTGATTTGGATACTGAAATAGAGAGCTCCCTGAGCACATCTGCAGAAAACACAACACTGGGAAGAAATGCAAGCAAATGGGAGGACAGGAGCAAAATTCAGAAGGATCTGGATGGACTAGGAAGCTGGACAAGAGCCAGTAGGATGAAGTTCAGTGCTGACAAATGCAAGGTGCTTCAGCTCAGGAAGAATAATCAAAAACGCAAAAACAAAATGGGTAACAACTGGCTGGTTGACAGCACTATGGAGAAGGATCCAGGAGTCTTAGTGGATCACAGACTCAGTGCCTCTGCAGTGTAAGACTTCTGCAAAAAAAGGCAAGGCAAGCTTTGGTCAGCATCAGTAGGAGCATTAGATGCAAAACACAAGAAGATGATAATGGCTCTTTACTATGTACTGGTTAGGTCTCATCTAGAGCAGTGTTTCTCAACCTGTGGGTCACAACCCAAAAGATATTCTGTCACAGACTTAGTGCCTATATATGAAAGGGTCATGAATAAACTTGAAAAATGGATCAAGAAACTTGAAAAATGGATTATCCTTTAAAGGAGAAGAACATGGGTAAACTGTGCCTTTTCCCTGGCAGACGGCAGAGTTCCAGCCTGCAAGGGGTTGCTTAGAGCCCCCCCACCAAACCCCCAACCCTGCCCCACAAACCCACCCCTGCCTCACACATTGAGGGGCTGGGGCTTGGGGGCAGTGGGTTGGGAGTGAGGGGTGCTGGGTTGGGATGCCCCATCACTGTTTACAAATGGGCCCTGGTACAAAAAAGGATAAGAACCACTGATCTAGAGTCCTGTGTCCAGTCTGTGAAGAAATCAGAGAGGGGCCAGAAGACAGCAACAAAAATGATAAAGGGCCTGGAAAGCAAACCATTTGAAAAAAGGTTCAAAGAAATAGACGTGTTCAGCTTTCAGAAAAGGCAGTTAAGAGGGAACATGACAGCAGTTTTCAAATATCTGAAGGGCTGCCATAAAAAAGAGAGAGAACAGGGTTTTTTTTGTCACTGCAGAGAGTAGGATGTGTAGCAATGGCTTGAAATTTCAGCAGGTTTCAAGTGGATTTCAAGAAAAACTTCTTCACTGTTAAAACAGGAAGGCAGTGGAATGGTCTGCCTAAAGAAGTCATAAAGTCTCTTTCACTGGAAGTTTTCAAGAAGAGGTTGGATAAGCATTGGTCAGCGATGGCCCAGGAGTGGCTATGCCTAGGGTATGCGGTAAAGAGCAGCTGCTGGAAACCCAGGAGCCACCTTCACACAGATTGCTGGGGATCATGTGAAGAGCTCTGGAGCCCAGAGGGGGTGGATATAGGAGAAGACCATGCCAAGAAGCAGAAGAATACAGCAGAGCTCCAAAACCAGCTTAGTTATAAAAGAAGATTAAAGGAGGTGGGATAAGTTTATGGAGGGGGTAGAATGACAGAAAGGGGAGTTCTGGCTCTCTAGTTAGAGGGCATTATGTGGGGAGTTGTTTGCAATCCCCAGGTTGCAGAGCAGTGTGGAGCGTGTTTTGTTTTTCCCATGCTCCTTTGCTTTCCTGGTTGCCACATGGGGCCTGGAAGGAACTTCTTCCCTTCTGTTGGTACAGGTGTCAGTATTTTTTTTGCCATCCTCAGAAGCAGTGCATGTTGGCTGCAACCAAGGCTGTAGGTTTAGATGGGGGTGTGCCAGTGCTCCTGCTGGGACTAAAACCCAGAGGTTCCTAGGTAAAGGGTCTTACTGCTCTGCTCAGGGTAAGATCAATCACCACATTAGGGATCAAGAAGAAATTTTACCCCATGGTTAGACTGGCATGGGCTGGGGGAGGGGGGCATTGCCTTCCTTTGTAGCAGGGGTCATGATCCGTGTCCCTGGATCTCTTGAGTGTATTTTAACAACACTTACAGCAGCAGGACATTGAAAGTGCCCTCATCCCTCTTCTTTAGCTGTAACAGGTTAGGGTGCTCTTGATTTTTTGGGACAATGTGCCTTGTAGTTGTGCATCAGGGTTGTTGTGTACTTTTAGAAATAAGCTAGACAAGCTCTTGTATGGATGGTTTGGATAGGAATGATCCTGTCTTGAGTTGGGAGTTGAACGAGGTGACCTCCTGAGTTCCCTTCCCACCCTACTTTTCTATGATTCTGTGGTCAAAAATCAGACTGAGAGTGGGAGATAGCAAGAAAGTGACTTTATGGACTGGTAGTTACAGCCTTGTGATGTGGGAAACCCAGGTGCAAGATTCAGAGCAAGAAGCTGAACTTTCATCTTAAAAGTGCCCTAAACACCATACTACTGGATTCTGCAGGATGGAGGTTGGTGTCTCCAAGTTATGGTTGAAACGGACTTCAGGAGGTCATCCCAAACTAGATTATCCCAGCCAAAGCTTTGTCTAGCCAGGTTTTGAAAACATCCAAGGATGCAGCTTCGACCATCTTTCTGGGTAACCTGCTCCAGTGTTTACTACCCTCCTAGTGAGAAAATTCTTCCTAATATCTAACCTAAACTTCCCTTGCTGCAACTTGAGACCATTGCTCCTTGTTCTGTCATCTGCCACCACTGAGAACAGTCTAGCTACATCCTCTTTCGAATCTCTCTTCAGGTAGTTCAAGACTGCTATTAAAACCCTCCCCCCAGTCTTCTCTTCTCTAAACTAAATAAGCCAAGTTCCCTCAGTCTTTTCTCACAGCTCATGTCCCCCCAGCCCCCTCCCATTTTCGTTGCCCTCTGCTGGACTCTCTCCAATTTGTCCACACCCTATCTGTAGTGGGAGGCCCAAAGCTGAACACAGTACTCCAGATGTGACCTCACCAGTGCTGAATAAAGGGGAATAATCACTTCCCTGGATCTACCGGCAACACACCTAACAATGCAGCCCAGTATGCCATTAGCCTTCTTGGCAACAAGGGCACACTGCTGGCTCATATTCAGCTTATTGTCCACTATAACCCCCAAGTACTTTGCTGCAGAGCTGCTGCCCAGCCAGTCAGCCCCCAGACTGTACCTGTACATGGGCTTGTCCCATCCTAAGTGCAGGACTTTGCATTTGTCCTTAGTGAACCTCATGAAATTTCTTTTGATCTAATCCTCCATTTTGTCTAGGTCACTCTGATTCCTAGCCCTAGTCTCCAACATACCTACTACTCCACTCAGCTTGGTGTCATCTGCAAACATATCCTGTTTCAGGGTTCCCTAATTCAGTGGCATGCAATGTACTAATATCAAGGAAGGACTAAAGATGTTCATGAAAGCCAGTACAGGCTGTCTAATAGGGTATAATATATGCCCAGACCTCTGCCCATGCACTGTAGAGTATATCTATGCTGATAGTTAAGGCCACCTTTAAGTACATCCTCAAGCCCATGCCACTATCCATCTTAAGTGTAAGCCCCAATACTTAACCCCAGAATAGTCCAACCTAACCTTGAAACTCTGCTGAAATCCTAGGTACAAGTCTGACCCCACCCCTGTTCACCTCCTTGCCTGCCCCTGCCTCTACTACATTTGGAACTCACCCATATATGCAGGCCACAAGCACAGAAAGTCCATCATCACCAACCCAACAGTCCCAAGTTCCTTCTGTGCCCTACTTTCTGTCTCAACTGTTCCAAAAGTAGAGACAAATCTGGAAGGAGAAGCTGACCCACAGACCAATTCCTGGGATGGCTCTGCCTCACAACCAAGAAACACAAGACAATCAGCTTTGGTGCTGGCTAAAAGGTATGACACAGGCAGTGAAGGAAAACTCACATTCTACCAGATGGTTCATCTGACCTCAGAGTTGACCCCAAGTGCCACCATAGAGGTTGCCTTAGGCCTGACCTGCAGCATTCTGCTGTTCCCGTCATTGACTTCATGTGGTTCTGTCAATCCCAATTTAACAGTTCGTCCTCCTGTTTTCAGTTCTGGTGCCCACAGAGCTCTGCCAATGTTCCTCAACCTTGGCCTGCAATCACTTTTTGTTACATTGATAGGTATTGTGCTGGACTGATATTAAGATAGCAATAGTTTCCAAATGTTCCAAGCAGAAGCAGGCCCCACTGTGTTAAGTATTATGTGAATGTAAATTAGGAGACAGTCCATGTCCCTGTCCTGTGCTTGGCACAGTGAGAGTTTTGGTCCATAACTAGAGCCCCTAAGAACTACTGCATTATTAAATACATGAATAAATAATAACAACAGAGAGATTGCAGTCTAAAATATGCAAGAAAAACTGAAGAGTTGGGTGCTGCATTAGAACATAAAACTCTGCATATTTCTGCTGTTTTTAGACACACCAGGTTTTTGACTTATTAGAAGTGCTCTGCTCTAATCTTGCTTTCCCCTACAGACAATCATTCCACCTGGCTGTGGATATGCTGAAGTTCAGCTCTACTATTGTAACTGCCCAAGAGATGCGTATCATATGGTCCTGGATTCCTGAGCGATTCTCCTTATTCCCTCCTGTCTTATTATTCTCTACCTTAGACGATGGGTACAGTTTACAAAGGTATAGTGACATCTGCAAAATTATATCAAATGGGTCAGATTTCTAGTTAAGGAAAATTGACATAGCCTCATTGACTGAAGTGGTGATATTTGGATCTACACCAGTTGACGTTTGAATTCAATAACTGTACCTAGTGTTTGAGCAGTTTATTTTAGCAAGATGGTCTGTTGTATGAACTTCCTTGAGGCTTATGACTGTTCAGCTCTCTGTAGAGATGTTCTTCTCTATGCCTTGAACCAATGTATTGTATTTGTGGGAGACATGCATGTTATCTCAGGCAGTCAGGGGTGTTTTTCTTACAATGGCTGTTTCATCTGATGTGAAATATGTTTGACTGATCTCAATCCAGTTCCTTGGAGAGACACATCCACAACAGAAAACCACCATACCACTGTCATCCTTGTGGATGACAGACCAAGGATTGAATGGGCCATGGAGGCCAATCAGTGTTCTTGCTCTCTAAAGATGGCATCTCTAGATCAAGGCTGTTATATGGAAGGGTTGTCTAACTTCTTAGTGGTCGGGGCTGCATACCATGGAGGCTGCATCAGCAAGGCCCACAGCCTTGCCTCATATCCCCAGATATGGGCTCTCCCTGGCTCTCCCTGTGGGCTCCTCTGTGCTATGAGCTCCCCTGGCATTGCATGCATGTGACCCCCACAACCTCTACAGCATGCACACAGGTATCCCTTATCAACTCCCTGCCTGCAGGCTTCCTCAGCACTGCAGGCTAACCCCTGTCACTCTGCCCCATCCCCCAGGGTAGGGGCAGGAAATAAAGGCCAAAGAACGGAGAGGGAGCCTGAAGACCCTGGCTGCAGGAGCAGCTGGAGCAGTGAGGGGAGTAGTGGCCCTTGGGCAGCCCAGCGGCAGGGGTGGGGCTGGGGGGAATACTGTAGATTAACCCTTTGTGGCCTGCCAGTGGGACAGCCCTGTCATATGGGAATTACATGGAGCTGTCAGCCCAGTACCTCCTACCAGCTTTAAACTTACTTGAAGATAAGCAGTAAATATTTCCTGTGTAAAGGTTAAGTCCAAAACCTGTAGTTAGCTGTGCTGTCCTGCTGCTTCTCACCTAAGGCAGCATGTACTGGGAGCAGCAATCCTTCTGCCTGTGTCCTGGTATCCCACAAGAACTCATGGCACAGAGGCAGTACCAACTCCTATTCCAAATTATTTGCTCCAACTGTTGTTGGCTGAGCATTTGGGCTTCAAAGCTCTATTTAGATAGCAGTATTAGGCATCCAGACACATAAATATAGCACTGATCAGCACAGCCTAAACCCCAAGCCAGACAGGCAAGCAGTCAGACATTCCTTCTGGCCTCTGCTCCAACTTATGGAAGCAGAGTGATGGAAAGGGTGAATGGCAAATTCCCCAATCAATCTACAGATCAAAAATTAACACACATTTGAGCTGCAGGCCAAAGTGCAGTGAAATCACCAGGAGTCTTTCCACTGCTCTGGATGGGCTTTGGATTAGGCCCCTTTAATGATTTGCAGCACCTGCTCCTTAATGCTCACAGACAGCAATCACAAGATGACTGTGGGCAGGATCCAGCCAAGCTCATTTTTAAACTGTGAATGTGAATTTCTAAAAATTACCTACACTTGTCTCTGCTCTCTTACAATGACATCTGGTGCCAGGGCATATACCATTCCCTCTCAGCACCTATTCTGGTTCCCACTGGAAGTCATGAAACTAGCTTTGCCCAGTTTGGGTCTGTGGAGATGCAAAGTGTGGTCCAGAACAAGAGGTGGCACCTGTAGTCCAGAATGTGAAGGCAGCTACCTACTGTGATAGTGCGTAAAGGTAGATAGCTTCACAGAGAACCTACTCTTCCATGGCAGAAAGGAATGTAAAATGGTGCAACAACTCAATTCAAACAAAGGAGTCTAAATAGTAACTTTGTCTACAAGTAAATTACTAGGTCAGAACTGGAAATTAGACTGAACCTGTCATTAGTGCCATAAAGAAGAGAGAGAACACCTTTACTCTGTCACTGCAGAGAGAAGGATGAGTAGCAATGGCTTGAAATTGCAGCAAAGTAAGTTTAGATTAGATGTCAGGATAAGCTTCTTCACTGTGAGAACAGTGAGGCATGGGACTAGCCTGCTTAGGAAAGCTGTGGGTCTCCTTCATTGGAGGTTTCCAAGAAGAGTTTGGAAAGCATTGGTCGGTATTAATCTAGGAGTAGCTGTGTCTGGAGCATGCTTTGAAGAGCAACAGTGGGAAGCCCAACAACTCCCTCACCTCCAAAACACACACACACACACACACACACACACACACACACACACACAC